TGTGTGTGAATTTAGGGCATGAGGATGGTGTTGGAGGGTCTACCTGGGACTAAACCAGCCCTGAGCCAGTTGTAAGTGAGGAGCTTGAGCCTCCAGTCTGTATTTTCTGCCCTTGGAGCTCAAGCACCACAATCAATGTGAAGAACAAGTCACATTTTTTCCCCACAATTACCTCAGCAGGTTGTTTAATTTTTTTTTCTTTTGCTGAATTCATGCGATAAAATGCATTAAATGTAACAGCACGGAAAATAAAAGTTCCGTTTGCAGACAGAGCCTGATTTAGTATGAAGATAAAACAAGGTAAAACAACTGGAAAAATTAAGTGGGATAAATAAATTCTGCTGGGAAGAGGCCGAGGTGAGACAGGGGGAGGTATGTGTGTGGCAGTGCTGGCAGTGGTCAGTGCAGCTGTGAATCCCATTCCCAAGGCTTTCCACCTGGGAAAGGGATGATGCTTTGCTTTGTACCCCCTCCCACAAACTGGTGGGTGCTCAGTTTTGTCCCAGGAGAGTGAGATGTTATTCTCCCTGCATGGGGAGGGTGTGTATTCCTCCTGCCTGTGCTCGTGCCATCTCTTTTGGGTGAAGAAATGTGAATATTCGGCAGCAAATGGGAAAAGCACAAAGCAGAGCTGTGGGGTGTGGGGGAAGAGGTGTCGGGACGGATTGCCAAATATGCTGGGGAAAAATTAGCAGCTGCAAGTGTGCAAGAGAAAGGTGGAGAAGAAAAGGGGTAGAGACAGATGGAGAGAAGGAGGGAGGGAAAGAGAAGGTGGGAGGAGATGGAGGAGGAGATAATAGTGTGGAAAGAAATTAGTTAAAAATCTTATAGCCCCAAGCCCCAACACCATCTGGATGGTGCAGGGTACCGAGACACAGCTCCACCTTCACCATGGAGGTGTCACATATGTCTTGGCCAGGTAGGGTGTTCGAGATGCTCAGGGTTAGAAATTCCCCGTGCTCCAGGAAAGAGCCCAATGCCTTAAAAGAGCCCAATTTTGTGAAAAAAGTGCCTGTGGCTGTCTGCCAGCTGGGGACCAGAGAGGAGCTGTTGTTGTTGAAAATCTTGTCTGGGGTTTCCAGAGGGAGATCTGGAGAACTTCCACTTCCACTGGTGCTGGAGGGCAAATCCCTGGGAGCAAAGATTACTCTTTGATTAAACAAGCACAAGGCCTCCAAGGACTGCTCTTCCCTACAGCTCTGCCGGGTTTTTTGCTTTCCTGGGTGCAGCATTAACCCCTTCTGTTTTGAACAAGGCTGAATAGCTGAGAGACAGCAAAGTTCATCTCAGAGAAAAGGAAAAAATAGGAAAAAAAGTTCTTTCTCATTATCTGTGCCTTAAGATTTAGTTTTCTTTGCCTGCTGAGGACTGTGACAAGCACATGGTTTGTTGTGCCCACTGAGAGAAAATCTGCTGTACTAGGGTGAAGCACATCTCTGTGGTACAGCTGTTTCCTAGCATTGCCCTACCCAGGCAGGTTTAAAAGGAGTGAGAAATGGTCCTTGGATCTTTTCTGGGAAAGGCAGTGTCCCAAAGGAGGAGGTGGCACTTGCTGGCCAAGTGTGCAGGGTCCCAGTGATACTGCAGTCACTCCCTCCCTCACTGCACTGATCCCAAGGAGCTGGACTCACTCTCTCACAGTGAGCATTTCAGTGTGCCCTGAGCTGCGTGGAGAAAAGGGAAATAATCTGGGAGCAGGAATGAGGCTGGGGAATGAAACCCAGCATGGCCATCCGTAGGTCCCAGTGGCTGCAGGCTGCTTCCCAGTATGACGCTGGAGCAGCGCTGTGGCTGAGCTGCCTCATGGCCCCCGGGCTCTGGTCCCTCACTAATTACTTCCAGGCCTGTACTCCTGACATTTGCAAGCTCCTGATTAGAGCAACCAGGGAGAAATCTCGGAGGGAGAGGGAGGCTAAACTGCACCACTAATAAAAGCTGAGATTGACAATGGGCTGGGAGGCGACAGCCGGGGAGGTGCAGGGACTCGTCCTTGCCGGCTCAGTTTCTTCCTGAGCCTCTGGGATGATGAGAGAAGGTCAGGGCTTGTTAACGTCACCGTGAGGAGCAGGATCCGCCACTGCCATATGCCTGGTGCCCCCAGGGCCTGTGCCAGCCTTGAGTCGCTCTCAGCCAGGCGATATTTTTAGCCACGGACCTGAACTGAAGCCACCCTGTACAACCTCAGGTCTGCAACTGTCTCGGTGCAAAAGTGCTTCTGCCTCTGTGTCTGCTGACTTTGTGCTTCATGCACATTTTGCAGCCTCCTGGATTTCAGGTTTTTTCCCCCTTGCCCTTTTCTCTCCCACGTCCCATCTCGCTCCCTTCATTTGATGGCAGTGCAGTCACCGGGGAGGTACTGTTAACCCCAGCAGTGGGACTGGCACATGTTTGTGATGGGGTGGCCCAGAATTCCAAACCAGGAGAGGCTGCTCTGGTTCCCTGGGTGCCCACAGTGGCCTCTGGGATGAGCATGGATGAGCCATGTCTCCTGCAGTCTCCTGCACAGCCACTCCAGGCTGTTGGGTCCCTACCCAGCTACATAAATATGTCTCACATTCATTTCCCAGCCCTCTCTCTCTCCCCTCCCTGATGCCCCATATCCCCTTACCTGTCTGTAGCAGCCGCCAGTTCAGTTCTCTGTCTGTCCATTTATTCCCTGCCTTTGCATCCGTTCATGGATCCATAGCTCTCCAGCCTCCTCAGAGTCTCTCTGTGAGGCAGACAGGCATTTTTCCCCTATAAATCTTCCCTCTCCTGGATTGCTCTGGCTGTGGCAGGCTTTGTGCTACACTCACTCTACATCTACATCTTCTATCCCAAGGGGTAAACACAATTTTACCTGGCAGAGCTCATGGTCCCTGCAGCATCCTTGTCCCCTGGAGCTAATCCTGCTGCTGGGTGAGGCTCAGCAGCACCCGTGGTCTCACTGCTGGGGTTGCCCTGGGTTTGTGCTGGCTCCTGCTTCTCCCTCCCCTCCTCTGTGCCAGAGTGGAGCAGCTCAGGAAGGAGTGGAGTGTTCTTTGTCTCCCATCTTCCCTCCCAAAGAATCCCTGGCATGGAAGTATGGGGTTAAGGCAACTTTTCAGCAGCTGAAGAGCTTTCTGATGGAAAACTCAGCCCCGCTTTTCTCTGTGCTTCCCTGGGCTCCCAGGCTGCCCTATTTACCCAGCTGCAGTGATAGATATCCACCCAGCACCAGCTTCCATCCCTCTTGTGCTGGAGCTGATGCTGGGTGCCAACACACATCTCTGCAGTGCCAGCCCATGGCTAGTGGCTGTTTAGGGTCACTGAGTCCCACTGCCATGTACAAAGAACCTGCTCTGCTGAAAATTTGGCTTGGGATCACTGAAAACCCCTTGTAAAGCCCCTTTATCAGTTTTAACAGTGTTTGGATCTCTGGATGAGGTTGGTGTCCTGAATTAGCTAAAACTCCCTTGTTGGTGGTTATTTCCCTCCTCCAGCCCCTGGGAGGGACAGGTTCCCTGGGATACATCAGCAGAGGAGGCAGATGTCCTTTGGAGGAAGGCACCCAGCCAAGGTCCAGCCTAGCTTGGGCTGAGGAGCTGTGTGAGGAACACTGGCAGCATGGGGTTAGTTTTCTTCTGTGGGCACACGCAGGTGTGTCTGGATAGTCACCAAGGTCTTGGTGCTTCAGCTGCTCTTTGAGGAGATAAATGGTGGTCTGTGGGTGTCTCCAAAGGAAGAAATTTGTTGAAATTTCTTGTTGATGCTCTGTTGTGAGCGTCAGGGTGGAAAGCCCTTGGGCTTCCTAATTCAAGGATCTCAGTGTCAGGGAGCAGGGACAGGAAAGACAGAAGCTTTGGAGCTGTCTTACAGCATCCCACGGGGCGAGGACGTGGGGACAGGACCCTGTTTCTCACAAGGAGAGAGAATTGGAGCTAGTTCCCCCGGGGATATGCATCAACAGGTGGAGGCAGGGAAAGATGCTGCGGTGGGCGAGGGTTTGAGCAACCTGCTGCTCTTGAGGGCAAGCTCAGGGGTGCGTGGCGCGAGAAAAGCCCCCTCTGCAGCGGGGCTGAAGCGGGCGAAGGGTTGGGGGGGTCCCTCGGCTGGTGGCAGCCCCGGTCCCCTTGCGGGAGCGCGGCGCGGCGGGGGTTAATGTGCGTGTCCTCCTGCGCATCCCGCCCCGCTGCCGCCCGCCCGCCCGCCCGTGTGCGGGGCTCGGGCCGTGCGGGAGCCGAGGCGCCGGGCAGCGCTGGAGCCGCTGCCATGACAACCCCGGGGATGCTGCCGGCCGGGGCCGGGGTGCTGCTGTCGCCGCCGCCCCCCCGCATCTCCCCCGCCCCGCTCAGCGCCTGAGCCGCAGCCCGAGCAGCCACCGGCCCCGCGGGGGCTCCGAGACCCTCTGGACACAGCCGAGGAGCATCGGGGACATCGCCTGCAGCTCCGCGGGGAAGTTTCGATCTTGCGACAGAACCGGGATTTTGGGGAGCTTTATTGGGTTTTTAAATTTTTTTTTCTGCATTTTTTTTTAAAATTCTCCTTTCTTTCTGTGATTTAAACAAAAGCTCAAGAGCCGGAGAACAGCCCAGCCCCGGCCCGCTGTGTCCCCCCCGGTGCCGATGCCGCCCTCCCCTTCCTTTCACAGACACTCACGTTTCCTCCGTGGGTTATAAACTTTTGATGCCAGATCTCCGCAGCGCCTGCCCAGCTGCAGCTGAAAGTAGCGTCTCCAGCAGCCACACATCTGTGACCTTCATCTCGTGCTCCGCACCTTCTCTCCTCCTCTTCCTCCTCCTCCCCCCGGCCCTCCCGTCCTCCTCCCTCGCCCGAGGACAGCGGGACTCCCTCCGATGCCGCTCGGCAGGCTCAGCGCTCGCAGCCAGCCTTGCCGGGGGCTCTCCTGATCTCCGTGGAGCTCCGCAGCGCTCGCCCCGGTGGTTTTGCTCCCCCCCATCCCTCCTCTCCACCCACCCCTTCCCCCTTTTCGCCTTGTCGGGTGTGTTTTTTGCCTGTTGGAAAAGTCCCCGCTGCCCAGGATGGGGGTCGGTGGGTGCTTGGCCCTGCCCTGGAGGTGCCTGGTCGTCCTCTGTCTCAGGCTGCTCTTCCTTGTGCCCGCAGGAGTGCCCGTGCGCAGCGGAGATGCCACCTTCCCCAAAGCCATGGACAACGTGACAGTGCGGCAAGGGGAGAGCGCCACGCTCAGGTAGGAGCAGCTGGACGGGGGCTTGGGGGGGTCGGGGGTCCTGCTTGATGCTTTTGGGGGATGCTCTGTGCCCGGCGGGGCTGCCGGAGGGTCCTGGGACCAGCGGGAGACTTTGCACGTGTCCCAGGGGCTCGTCCCCATCGTGGCAGGGGACACTCCGGGTGGCAGCTTGTCCCCGTTGTGGTGGGGTCACCCCGTGCGAGCGGTTTTGGAGGGACGGATGCGCCGGTGCTTTTCGGGCTGCAGCGCGGGGCTGGCAACCTCCTGGGGGGGCTGCGGGTGCCAGACGTGGAGACGACACAGGGGTTTAGGTGGCAGACAGTGAGTTAGTGCTGCCTGGAAAGCCCAAAGTTGTGCCTGAGTGGGAGGGGAGGGGAGGGGGGTCCGTGCTCCTGGCACCGGTGCCAGCCTGCACTGCCAGCAGCTTTCCAGGGCTGCGATGCCTCCGAGGTGTCAGTGTTTTCCTCGATCGCTTTATAGTCTCTGCACGAATCCGTTAATATCAAATCAATCTTTTACTCCAGGGGTGCATCTTATGAATTCTGATGGATGCTTTCCCTTACGTTGTTTGCTGTAGGAGAAACACAGGCGGCTGATATGCAGATGGGTCACTCCTGTGCCGCACAGCCCAGCCGAGCATCCCTTTCATTCCCTGAATGAGTTACAGGTGCATTGCCCAGGTAGCTCAGCAGCCCTCCACAGGCATCGCAGCCAGAGGAGCAGGGAGCAGCCCAGCCTTTTTTTTGGAGGGCAGTGGGGCAGCAGTGGGGCTTTGGGTCGTGCTGTGCGTGCTTCAGGCAGCCCCGGGAGGACCCGAGCCGGTTAATCTGGGAGCTGTGGGATGTGGGGAAAGAGCTCGGGGATGGTGGGACGTGAGCGTGGAGCAAGAGAGCTCGGAGGAGTTTGTCTGCTTTGCCTGCGCCAGCGAGCAGCGTGTGCCCCTCACCCGAGGCTGGCTGCTCCCTGGCTCAGACCCGGAGGAACAGGGTCTCTGCAGCAGAGAGCAGCTGCTCTTCCCAAAGCCAGGCACGGGGATGGCACAAGCAGAGCCTGTCACGCTCTCCGTGAGCAGCAGAGCCGGCGCAGGGCTGAGGAGCTGGTGCTGCTTTGAGCAGAGGCTGCTGTGCTCACCTGGGTGGCCGGGCAGGTTTCCGTGCCTGAGGTGGTCTTTGCAGGGAGAAGTGTTTGGTGGTTTTGGGAATCAGGCTCTGGCTGGGGCTCTGGGGGTTCCATGCTGCAGAGGGAGGTGTTGGTTGCCTGTCTGCCCTCTTCCCACCACGTTCACTGCCAGACTTTGGGATGCTGTCCCTTTTTCTGTACCCTGGGACATTCTTGTCATCACCCCGTGTTCCTGGGGGCTGTGGCACAGCTGGAGAGCAGAGGGCTGTCTCCTTGTGCTCTTCCTAATTGAACTGCAATGATGATTAACCTGAGCTGTGTGAGCAAGGCAGTTTAAAGAAGGACAGTTCCCCAGAGAGGTGCCTTTGGCCCTGGTGCTCTTTTCCTCACTGTTGGAACTTGTCTCTGTAGTGAAGTGTGGGCTTTGGGGCTCTCGGGGGCGATGCTGGTCAGAGCAGGATGGGTGCCTGTGCCTGCTCCCTGGGGAGGCCCTGCAAGTCCAGCCGAGCCTGCTGCCAGCAGAGGGCTGACTTGGATCTCCTTTTTTTTTTTTTTTTTTTTTTTTTTTTTAATATATATATTTCTAGCCTTCTGTCCCCTTTTCTGTGCTGTGTACAGGAGGGGATGTTTGTGAAGCAGCCCTGGGTGCGAGATTTTAGCCTTCCCTTAAGAAACTCTGCATCCCCCAAGTGCTGACACTTAGAGGAAGCCCCTGCCCCAAAAGCACCTGGTTTTATCCATTTCCCCACTTGGCATCTGCTCCTACCCAGGCTCTCCAGTGCATCTTTTCCATGCTCTTACCCCCTCCCTTCTCCTCCTCAAGTCCAGCTTTCCCCTGCTGCAGGCAGCTTTCTGCCTCCAGCTCCCATTTGCTCCCAGTCTGCTCCATCTTTTCTTGCACTGCTGTTTCCCAGTGGTCCTTCTCTTCCCTCCTCTCCCCGTTTCCCTGCTGCTGCCCCTCTGCAGCCTCTGGGTGGCAAATATTTTTCCATCTTCCCTCGGGATCTGGAGATGGGCAGGGAACTGCACACAGCAAACCAAAGAGGTGGCATCAGTGGGGGGTTGAAGGCAGGAGGACAAAGGTGGAGCATCTTGAGGATGGGGCTGATGTTTATTTGGAGGCTGTGATTTCCTGTGAAGAGCCAGGCAGGGAAAAGTGCCCTGAGAAGTCTTTCCCAGTGATTGGTGTTATTGCTAAATGGTGTTTACTCCCGTGCACCCGCAGGAGGAGGTGGTGGTGTTCTCTGCTGTCCTCCCTGCAAATGGCACTTTTCTTGGGATCAAACCAAGGAGATGGGCTTGGAAAAACTGAGAGCTGTAATTCCACTGTGTAGTTCTTGCAGAATTAGCCTCAGTCCTGCTAGGTCTGGATGGCCAGGTCCTCTCCCTCATCCTGGTTGTGAGATGGACAGAGCCTGCAAATCTCCCTGGCTCCTGCAGGGTTGGTGGAAGATCTTTGCTTTCCAAGATCAGCCCTTTAACCACCCCTTGCATTGCAGAAAGGAGCTGGGAGAGCGAGCAGCCCTGTATGAAAGTGGTGGAGGAAACCTGGAGGCTTTTCAGGCTGCTGTGGGTTTCCTGTATTGGATTTTGGGCGCTTCCATTTCCAGCTCTCCACCCTTTTTCCAAGGGAGGCTCAGCATTATCCTTGCAGAAACTCAGGCTCCATCTACAGGCAACTTGCAGGTCATCTTAGATCAGCAACAAATAATTTCCATTTTAACCAGAAATTGTTGGTAATTCACTCCTTTTTATTGTAAGAACAAACAATTCCCATAATACTCAGGCACCTTTCCTCTCCTGGGAACTAAAGGCAGTATGGAAATTCTCTGTGTACTATTAATAATAGAACTCTTTCCTGACTCAGGAACAAAAAACTCGGGTGTTGAGATGGCAGGAGTAATTGATGTTACCCACCAGTCTGGGACATGAAACAGAGCAAGGAGCACACCAGAAACCACGAGGGGTGTTGAAGATGGTCACTTTTTAATCTCCCAGTTGGCATTTGATGTGGAAACAAGGATTAAGTTCCTTCTTTTGGGAAGAATGCCATTAAGTCTTGGCTTTCTCCACATGCTGCTCGTTGGATGCACGTCCTAGGGTTGCTGTGGGGGCGTTGCTGGCAGGTCATGGCTGGCCAATCCCCACAGGCTGATCCTGCCTGGAGACTTTGGTTGGGTTTTATCCCAGCTGCATTGTAATGGTGGAAGCATCTCCATGAGCCAAAGGGGAAGCTGTGGCAAATATTCCCACGGTGTTAAAATGGGGATGGAAATGGGATCGTCCCGCTGTGCCGCCAGCAAACCGACCTTTACAGCAGCCATCAGTACAGTTCATAAAGACATAAACCACCAGCTGCTCAAAATTTCAAGGCTTTATAGTTTTATCTGTATTTAAGAAATATTGTTGGTTTTTTTAAGGGAGAGAGTGTGTTTTAGAGGTTGGAGGGATTAGCTGGGAGATGGGCTGTGCTGAGTTTTTTCCATGGCTGTCACCATAGGGACACCAGGACTTGAGGACGCCCCTCTGTTGCTCTCAGCCTCAGTTTCCTCATCTGTAAAATGACCCAACAGCAGTGGTTTATCAGTGATGATTAGAGGAATGGGTGATGCTAAGGCAGGTATAACTAGGCTTTTTTCCAAACTAAATAATACAGAGCTGCTTTATCTCTGTATATAAGGGCAAATTTTCAAGTTAAATCCCCTGGGCTTGTCTGCCTCTGGTGAACCCATGGCCTTTCCTACTGCTTGTCCATGGAGGAGACCAAGAAGTCAGGCTAGCTTTGCTTATTCACATCCAAGACTCTGTGCCTGGCTGTATTCTGTCAATTAGCAAGTGTGAGAACAATTCCAATTAAAAATAAAAAGCCCGAATAAAACATCATGAGATGCTGTTCTTCCATTTATTTTCACAATTATGGTTTTAATTATTTCTGACAATGCTGCTTTGATTCTTCTTTTTTTCTTTTGGTATAATAACCTACCACAGTCTATTTTCCAGCACGCAACAAGACCTCAGTAAAATACAACCAGCAGGAGCAGGAAGCAGGACCACAGTCTCCAGGCATGGGTCTGGGAAGTCAGGAAATCACTGGTTTTTTGCCTCTTTTTCAGTCAAACTGCTGATATTCCATGTGCCTACCTGTTAATGGGGGTTGTGACACTCACCTGTCGCCCTGAAACAGCAGCCACGGACCTGGCAGAGAAAAGAAGCGTTAATGCATCCACATCTCTGCTGTTAAATCCTTGCTGGGGAGCAGGAAGAGAGTCACTGCTCTTTGTGTGCAAATGCTAAAAGCGTGGGGATTAGCGCAGAGCAGATTAGTGAGGACTTGCTCCGTTGCTGCCCCTTCCTTCCCCCACTCTCCTATCCAAAAACTTTTCTGGAGCAGCTAAATATATACCTGCCGTTTCCAAGGTAGAGCTCGCTGCGTGGCGGAGCTGTAATTGGCGACTCAGGGAAATTACAGCCATGGATTCTGGCATTTGGATCCTCCTGGCTGGCATAATAATTTCTCCCTAGGTAGCTGGTATTTAACTTGTCTTATCTGCTCCTGATAGTTGTAATTACAGTGCCCGCTAATTTCGCTGTAATATTGCAGCCACTGGAAGGGTGGTTGGAGAAAGGTCAGGGGGTTGCAGGAGGGCTCCTTCCTCCCCAGCCTGCTGCACCAATGATGCTGTCAGAATGCAGATGCTAAGCCCATGGGGCTGGTACCCAATGTCCCTGGCTGTGCCCCTTCCCACCTTGGTGGGGCTGGAGCAGCCTCACAGCCTTGACAGGCTGGTTGTCACTGATGTTGGTTGGTCCTGGGCTGCTTGTCCCTAGGGGAGGTTGGTGTTCCTTGTGGTTCATTGTTCCTCAGGTTTGTTGTTTCTGAG